TGGGAAGATTCATGGGGGGGGTCTTCACAAAAAGTGCAGGGGTACCAACATCACTTAAAGTACACCTGACAGGATCCTGCATTAATTAGCATTCTCTTAACCATTTTGAACACCTTGTCTCTTGTTCTTCACCTTGATCATCTCACTAATGGCACTTTCAGGGCCTGCGTCTTGTCAGAAGCAACAGGGAAGGTCACAAAAATAAAGAGGGAGATATGTCTTATTTATTTTGCTTTAATGAGGAACGAGTATCCAAAAAGAAATTCAATGAGTTAAGAGAGTGTGTGTGACTGTTTTGCCTGCATGAATGTAAGGATGCTGTGTATGTATCCTGATGCCCATATGGGCCAGAGGACGACACTGGATCCTCTGAAACTGGAGTTACAGATGGTTGTGAGCTGCCATGTGGGTGCTGGTAATCAAATTATGAGTCCTTTGGAAGAGCAGCCAGTGCTCTTAACGACTGAGCTCCAGCCCCTCATGTCTTCATTTTTTCTTCTCTCTCTCTCTCTCTCTCTCTCTCTCTCTCTCTCTCTCTCTCTCTCTCTCTCTCTCTCTGTGTGTGTGTGTGTGTGTGTGTGTGTGTGTGTGTGTGTGTGTGTGTGTGTGTGTGGTGGGGTGAGTCATTGGAGACTGTGCGACTTACTAGATGTTACATTACTTAAGAAAACTGCTCTCCCTTCTCTAGCCTCTCATAACTGCCAATAGCTTCTCAGGGAGGGTTGGGGCCTCATGAACCCCTCTTCCATTTATGATGGAATGTTGAGGGGTCCAGTATTGTACAGGTAACCACAGCTACTATGAGTTCACGGAACTCTTCCTCATTCTCAGGCTCTTACATTCTTTCCAACCTCTTTTCCTTAATGTTCTGTGAATAATGTAACTTGCTTAGCTTGTATCCATTGTAAGCAGCCAACTTTTAAACATAAAAACATAACCCTTACCAGTCTAAAATCTATATTATTTGTAAGTGGAGTTTCTCTGTGTCTTGGCAGCCACTCTCAAGTAACCATTCAGAGACTTATTATTAATTATAAATGCTCAGCCAATAGCTCAGGCTTGTTATTAGCTAACTCTTACATTTTAAATTAACCCATATTCTTATCTATCCTCTGCCACATGGCAGTACCTTCTTTCATCATGGCATATTTCATCTTGCTTCTCTCTGTGGCTCTTGAGACTCCACTGACTCCACCCTTCTTCCAGCATTCTCTCTGCCCTGAAAATCCTGCCTAGCTACCAGCCAATCAACTTTTTATTAACAAGGAGAGCAACACAGTAATTATTTTCTCAACATTTTGCTTCCCCTTAAGAGAAAAAGGTAATGTTTTATAAATGGTTTTACTCATATATCCATTAATTGATTTTTCTGATACAACCAGTAAACAAACATGCAAGATTCTTAGCCTTCATAGCGCTTACAGCTTAATGGTGTGACACGACCATTGCATTCTTATATCAACTTGATACAAGCTAGGGTCATCTGGGAAGAAGAAATCTTACTGGAGAAAAGTGTCTCCGTAGGATTGGCTTGTAGGCAAGTCTGTAGGGCACTTTTCTTGATCGATGAATGATGGGGAAGGAGCTCACTTTAAGCAGTTTCTCCCTGGGCTGGTGGTCCTGCGTTCTAAGAAATCAGGCTTAGCAGATCATAAGTGAGCAAGCCAGTAAGCAGCACTCCATTATGACCTCTGCATCAGTTCCTGCCTTTAAATGCTTGCCCTATTTGAGTTCCTGCTCTAAGTGTCCTCAGAAATGAACTGTGACGTGGAACCGTAAGCTGAAATAAACCCTTTCCTCCCCAAGATGCTTTTGGTCATGGTGTTTCTGCACAGCAATAGAAGTCGAAGCCATGAATCAAAGGAGGTCTTTGAGCCACAAACACATGCCAGCACTGACCTTTTGAAAGGGAAAAACAAAGATTATCCTTGATCTGGAATATATACAATGTAGAGTATTCACAAATAGCTTTGGTTTGTGCGGTGACCTTTTAGCCTCACTGATTCATAAAATGGGAATAGTAATAGGTTTCTTGCCAACTGTTCGTTATATCAAAGAAAAAATGTATAAAAGCTTTTGGCAAACTTCTGTAAAACAGGCAACATGAAGGAAAGGGCTTTATAATAAAAAAATGTAAAAATACGTTAGAATAGTTCAGTATGTGTTCACATACTTATCAACTAGTTACTACAAGTATTGACCCATTTTGTCCTATGTGGCCCTTATTGTTTTGGAGGGGGGTTAAGGAAGCAAATCATCAACATCACACACACACACACACACACACACACACACACACACACACACACACACACAGTTTCAATATGTATTAATCAGGAAAGGAATTCATTTTTTTAAAATAAATTTTTATTTCATATTGCATGAGAGTTTTTTTAATTAAAAATTTTTAAAATTCATTTTACATACCAAAGAGCCCCTTCTCTCCTCCAGCCTCCCCCTCCCAACCCACCCCCCATTCCCTCCAAGAAGGTAAGGCCTCCCATGGGGAGGTACATTTAATAGAGGCAGGTCCAAGCCCCTCCCCCTGCCTCAAGGCTGTGCAAGGTGTCCCATCATAGGTTGTGGGCTCCAAAATGCCTGCTCATGCACAGTGGATGGATTCTGATCCTACTGCCAGGGGCCCCCTTAAGCAGATCAAGCTACACAACTGTCTCGCTAATGAATGAGAGTTTTGTCTGCCTCAGTGTAAAGTGTATTCCATGTGTATATCTGGTACCCTCAGAGGCACTAGGTCCTTTGTAACTGGAGTTACAGATGGTTGCAAGTTGACATGTGGATGCAGGAAACTGAACCCCAATCCATTGGAAGAGAAGACAGTGATCTTAACTACTGTGCCATCTTTCTAGCTCTCAAATAAATTAATTCTTTTAAAAAAGACAGTAAAAACCCAAACAGTCACAAATAACATTATCACTTCTAACAACCCAAAAGCAGGGGCTGGAGAGATGTCTCAGTGGTGAAGAGCACTTGTTGCTCTTCTACCGGACCCAAGTTTGATTCCCAGCACCTACATGGTAGCTCACAATTATCTGTGACTCCAGTTCCAGGGCATATGATTTCTTCTTTTGGCTTCCACAGGTCCTGTCCACACATGGTGCACAGACATACATTCAGGTAAAACACCCAGACACATAAAAATAAATAAATAATTAAAAATATATCTCATTGTTGTTTATATAAGGCTTATCATGTAGGTGGAATTTTACTGTCCTGACCGCCTGCTCCCAAATAAACACACTCAAAGGCTGAATGTGAATTATAAATGCTTTCTGATAGTTCAGGCTGATAGCTAACTCTTACCCTTAAATTAACCCATACTTCTATTTATGCTCTGCCACGTGGCACATGGCTTGTTACCTCATTTTCTATTCATCCTGCTTGCCCAGTGGCAGCTGGCTGATGTCTTCCCAGACTCTCCTGACTCCACCCTTTGTCTTCCCATCATTCTCTCTGAGTCATGCTGTCTCGCCCAATCTCTTCTTGCCCTGCTATTGGCCAATCAGTTTTTTAACAATGAGCATAATCCACAGCAGGCTCAAGTATTGGATTTTATTAGTATAATACTATACCTTTGGCTTTTTTTTTTTTCAGGTTGGTATCAAGCTCTTAGGCTTCACTGACTCTGGCATCAACCTGTAGAATATCTTACAGTAAGAGCAGCTACCATCACCTCAGACCATTGTCGTGTCTAGTCTAAGAATCTGAGGATTCCACCTTTCATCTCACTTTTGTTTTTGTCTTACAATCTATTTGCTGATGGAACTGTAGAATAATCACTACTAAACTTTAATATGAGCTAGGTATGGTTGCACAGGTATGTATTACCAGCCCTCTGCAGACTGAGGCATCCTCTTTTCCTGGACTATGTAGCATGACTTTGTCAAAACAAACAACAAAACCTCATGAACATCTTCAAATATTAAAGAACCTGTTAAGCCACAAGGTTCAGCTGGGCATGGTGAGTAGTAATCCCATCACTTGGGGGCAACAGAATAAGGATTTCAGAAGTTTGTGTCCAGCTTGTCTACACTGTAAGTTCCAGGTTAGTCAGGACATACACAGTGCCTTTAAAATAAGCAGTAGAAGGGTGAAAAGAGAGGTCTGGACAATGTCCTGCATGTGCTAGAAACCTGGGTCCTGCCTGAGCCTGAAATGCCATTACTTTGAGAACAGATAGAGACTGGAGGATCATCTGGGTGTCCTGGTTTCCAGTTTAGCTCCAAGTTTAGTAAAGATGCTGTCTCAAAGGCACAGTGGTAGGGCAGAACACTTGATGTCCTCTTCTGGCCTTGGCAAACACCTGGACCCCCCTCCGAGAGAGAGAGAGAGAGAGAGAGAGAGAGAGAGAGAGAGAGAGAGAGAGAGAGAGAGAGAGAGAGAGAGAGAGAGAGAGAGAGAGAGAGAGAGAGAGAGAGAGAGAGAAAAACTACAGATTTCTGTGTCCTATTTCCATAGATTCTGATAAAGTGTTGCATTTCTAGTACCAGGCGATGATCTTGCTGTTGGTGTGGTCCAGACTTTGAAAAGCGTTGTCTTTCACCATGTTCATTTTTCCTTTTTGGGTCCATTTACTGAATTGCTTATAATAATTAAAATTCAGGGTTTATGATTACATTCTTTGGGTTTAGAATTTAGTTTTTACATGATTTGGGCAGGTCACTTAATTTTTCTGTCAACCCAATATTGCAGAATCACTCTGAGGATTAAATAAGTCTTTTTTGTTGTTGTTATTTAATGAAGTGCTTATTTAATATAGTACTGGTACTTAACAAATACTGCATAAAATTAAATATCGTTTTTCCTAGAGAGGGCTGCATTGTCTGCGGAAGCCCTTGAATAACGTCGGGTTTTGTTGTGTTTTGCACACTTTTAACATTAGCTGAAGAGTCCCAGATTCACCTGGAAGGATTCTCAGCTTACTCCTTAAATCAGCCAAAAACCACTTCTTGAAGTGGGCAGGTCACGTGACCCACAGGATCACATGACTCGCGGAACAACATGGCTGCGCCCGCGCGAGGGCCCGCTCTCGGCTGCTGCACCGGGCTGCCTCGCGTCCTCTGGCTGCTGGTGCTGGCGTTCGGGGCGGCAGAGAGCGAAGAGGCCGGGGCTGGGGAAGGCACGCCGTCCCTCGCGGGCTCGTGCGGATGCGGATCGCCCCAGCGGCCCGGGGCCCACGGCAGCCCAGCGGCCGCGCAGCTCTACTCCCGGGAGTCGAACGCCCCGGGCCTGGCCTCGGGCCCGCGACCGCTCGCACTCACCAAGGTGCGCCTTCCATTCTTCGGGGCATGTGGGTGCCGCCGGTCTCGGGCACGAGGCCGGGATGAGCCATGGCTAGGGGTGATCAGGGAGGCCTGGTAAGGGTCTAACCACACCCCAAGTCACTCAGCTCATGATCCCATTTGACAGGAGTATCTCACCCTCCCCCCCCCCCCCCCCCCGCCTTCCTGCTCCTCCCCACCGGGAGGTGGGCTGGGTTTTGTGGTTGTGTTTATTACTGAAGTTTCAAGAGTTTAGCTCGAAGATTGTTGTCCATTTTTTTTTTTTATGTCTTCTTACCCACTTCTCCCTTTCTCCACCTTGCTCTCCTGGTGAAGAGCTAAGAATTTAAAGTTGGATGGATTCGGATTTAAGTTCTCAGTTGGTTTTAGTTTAGTTTTGTTTTAGTTCCTGGGGAGACTGAGTCTCCAGCCCTGCCTTAAACTCGCCTGCAGTCTGTTTCAGTGGCATCTGCTTGATGAGGGCAGGCTTGTGTAATTTATCCTGTGTGCTTAGCACTTGAGCCCAAGGAAGGACCAGGCCAAGTGTACTTGCTTTATTGCTTTTATTTATGTCTTTTGCACGGTGCCTAGGTGTGTTAGATGTTGGCATATACAGATGAAAACAGTGAATAAAGAAATGGTTCTTCATTTTTCCTGCTAGCTGCTTGTCTATGTGTGCATTTGTGGAATAAACTTAAGGGAATTCACCCCAGGTCCTCAGAATAACACTCCTTTTTCTGTATTCCTGGACAGTCCATCCTTGTTTCCCACCTCACTTTTCTTTCCTCTGTGTTAATTGGCACTAATGTTCAGGACTTGATGAGGAGGTAACATTCTGTGTGGGTCTTGCCTGACCCATTCCTCCCCTCCCCTCAATATTTCCATAGATTGACACAGTGGTAGTTGGCATTGCAACGACTAAAGATGCTTGTCCGCGGATTTCCTGTTCCAGCCACGCTGTTGGGATGGTGGCACTTAGACCTATGACTACTTTTTCCTATTCTATAAATGCCCGTATCATTTTTTGGGGGTGGTGGTGCCCCATGGCGACTTGTCTGTTTTACTTACTGTAGTGTTGTTTTCCCGTTATGTACTTGATGATGGAAACAGGTTTAGACCTGTTTTATTCTCTATGGACTACCCTACCCCCAGGGCCTAACCTATTTTAGGCATTTTGTAACAATCCATTGAGTAATGTTTTGTCTTTTTTGGTAGGTACAATATTGAGAAGCTACTTTGTTAGGTAAAAGCTGTCAGGTACTTTTTGAAGAAGCCTTTGTAAACATATACTTCTACTGTAGCCACCCTCCCAAGAATCCTGTGCAGTGTATTGTCTTCTAGTTCATAGGTGAGGCAACTGAATCCTCATAAATCAAATCTCAGTGCTGGACAAAATCAGGGTGCCATTCCTCCTATGAGTAATGTCTGTGTGTGGTGTGGCTACATAGGTCTTATGTAGCCAACATAGCTGTTGACATATTGATTTCTTTTGCCTGAGCCTTTTATGTTAAGTTTAAAAAGTGGAAAGAAGGAAATGGAAAAAGAGCCTTCCAAATGAAGTTTACTTCATTTTTATGCACAAAACAATTCTTACAGTAGCTTAAAGTGAGGAAGGAGAGAGTTATGGATTTTCTATAGTGGGGAAGTTCAAGAATGGACATGGCTATGTACACAGCTGGATCCAGGGCATCAGGCTGCATCTCCAGGCCCATCACTGACTGTCCCTTGGATTATCTTATTTTAGTTTGGTTCTGTTTCTAGATAACATCCTGTCTCCCAAACCACTTCGAAGAGGAAGAGTTCGTTTTTTGGTTGATCCAGGAAAAGTGAGCTTTGAGCCATGGTCCTGTTCCTAGTTGAATCTCTGTGCTCAGAATAAAGGCAGGATTGGCTAGGTTGTAATATATACATTACTAAATTGCCATATATTATTTAAATTCACTGAGAATTGGCTCTGGAGGTGTAACCTCTCCAGGTTACACCTAAGCATGCTTATCTTAAAAGCTTCCTTCAAGATCCCTTATCCCAGGATGGATGAAAATTGTATCCTTGAACACTGCTGAGAAACTCACCTGCAGTCTATTTTCCAAAACAGAGACTCAGCTACTATTTATCCCATGATACAACAAAGCCTGTGGTGGGAATGGCTAGTGGGAAGCCTTGCCCAGGAGAAGTCTTTCTGCCTTGGACCCTTTTTTTTGTGGATCAGAGGCTCCAGCTGGCTCTTTGTTGCCTTGGACTACCCCAGTCAGTCTCTGCTGGATAGTGTTTCTGATCTGATGCTGTACAAGCTTGCTGTTTGCCTAATAAACTCACCCATTAGAGACCCAAAGCATGGCTGTCATGGATCACGACAGATCATGCGTGCAGAACACAGGCCTTTGCCACAGGACGTGTAATTGAGTCACCCATCTTCACATTGGGGCACACATGTTTATGTGTGAGGTTTTGAGAAGGGATTTTTCAAAGGAGACTTGAGATGCTTCTGCATGTAGAGGAATAGATGCTGGGTAGGCCACACTAGGAGCTGCTCACGGCCCTTCATACTGGTGTGCAGCTAAGCGTAGTTCTGTGATAATGGAGTGATTCTTTACTACCTTACGCTTCCATTTTTAAGAAAATGGTGTGTGTGTGTGTGTGTGTGTGTGTGTGTGTGTGTGTGTGCGCGCGCGCGCGCGCGCGCACTTCCATGAAGGTCAAGGGACAACTCTAAGGAGTCACCTCTCTCTATCTACCTTTATGTGGGTTCTGGGGATCGTATTCAGGTTACCAGGCTTGTACAATAAGTGGCCTCATACTCTGAACTGTCTCACTAGCCCCCATGGGTCTGTCTTGAGTGGCAGTGGCAGAAGATGTGGTGAATGGGAAGAATGGATGATTGGACTCCTTTAATTTGGCCTCAGGTCCTGAAGAGTGAATTACCTGGATGTATGGAATTTCACTAGAATGGGCATTTTACATTTGTAGGACACAAAGCCTGATTAGTATAAGTTAGAAGTTATGATCTACTTAGAGCAGTCTAGAGCTATTTTTATCTGTATTCTTCAGAAAGGAAACCTGGCCTACTCAGTACTCACTATCTTCATTGGTTAATCAAAGAGAGAAAAGAAATTAGGCCAGGAGTCCACAGTGCAAGCTGTGACGGTGTTAGCATTGCTGGTACTCACCTTGGGGGAGAAGAGTTTGAGAAATAATTAGTAATTGCAGAAGTCTGTTGGGTACGGTGTGCCGGCACTGCTTCCTTTGGGCTGTGGGTTTGAGCTGAAGGACGTGAAACTATCCTCATAGTAAGACCTTGTCTTCTGTGGACTTGATTTTTTTTCTCCTTTCCCCATTTTCTGTTACTCCTTTATGAAACCTTTTCTTGTTGAGGGGAAGGTGACTGTGTAGCCTAGACTTTGCCTTGAATTCATGATACTTTTGCCTTTTCAAGTGCTGTGATAACAGCACCAAATATGGCTCTTTATGAAACCTTTATGGGATCTTAAGACTCATTTTAGTCGGGTGGTGGTGGTGCACACCTTTAATCCCAGCACTCGGGAGGCAGAGCCAGGTGGATCTCTGTGAGTTCGAGGCCAGCCTGGTCTACAGAGCGAGATCCAGGACAGGCACCGAAACAATACAGAGAAACCCTGTCTCACAAAAACAAAAAACAAAAACCAAAAACCAAACGAAACCAAACCAAAACAAACAAACAAAAAAGACTCAATTTAAGACTATTTTGACATTATTTTAAATTTTGTGCATGTGAGTGCAAGTACCCATGGAAGTGCTGTGTGACACTGTTCCCAGGGGGATCATAAACAAATGTTTACTCACCCTAGATAGAGAACTGATGGCACCCCAAAGTAAGGATGCCACCAAATTCCAATGTAGGCTTAGTCATAGTAACATGGGTCAGGGGTTATTTACAGGATTAGAAATGACTCACAGACAGCTGCATCACCAAAGCCCACCGCAGCAGGGGTGACAACTCACAAAAGCTGGGAACCTGGAGCACATGGCACAGCCTGCAGGTAGCTCAACAGCTTGGAGAGCGTCGGCTGGTCTCTGCCCCTTCCAGGCAGTTCAGCTAGTCTCAGAGTATCTCTTCACGATTCTTCCTGCTTAAATATGCTAGGGAGAGAGGGACCTTGTGAATCTGGTTAGTTTCAGGGACTTCCATCAACTTTTTTTGCTTCCTGGGCTTAATGAGTTTCCTTGCAGGGAGGAATGCTTCACCTTCTCTCAGTAAGCATCCTGTATTGTAAGGAGCCTCCTTCCAAGATGGAAGGTTTTAATCTAGGAGGAAACCACAACATAACAGGAGGCCAGAAGAGGGTATTAGATCCCCTGAAGCTGGAGTTACAGGTTGTGAGCCACCTGATGTGGTGGGGACTGGGAATTGAACTCTGATCCTCTGAGAGCAGTGCATGCTCTTAACTGCAGAGCCATGTTTCCAGCTCCTATTTTAAGACTACTCCTGAAACTTTTGTTCGAAATCTTAAGTTTTTTTTTACTTCTTTGCAGAGGTGTTTTTTTAAAATCCCACTTTGCTCGTAAGGACTGTAGAGTCTTTGCCCCAGGTGTTATAGAGTATTAAGAATAATGGGTAAATCCAGCCAAGGCTATTACAGGTTTCACTATGACACACACATGTAGCTCATGGCTGAGACTGTCTTATAAGTAAAATGGACTTTTGGTTATTTTGCCTATGAATATTCAAATAGTAACTTACTCCTCATATTCGTGGTCTTACGTGTTCAGTCTGTGAAGATCATTTGCACCTTGACTGTGGATCTTGTGCTATGTGATGTGCTGGAGGTTTAGAGATGAAGTTTGTTTGGGGTTCATAAGAAGCCTAAGATACCAGGAAGGAGAAACTATGTAACTGATGAGGCTGTAAAGATGCTCAGTTGGTAGAGCACTTGCCCTGAAAGCATGATTCTGCAGTTTGATCCCCATTGCCCACATACAAAGCTGGGTGTGGTGACATGTGTTTTTGATTCCAGCACTGGGAGACAGACAGTAAGATGCCCGAGGCTTGCTGACCAGCCAGTCTAGCCAAACTGGTGAGCTCCAGGGTAATGAGAGGCCCTTTCTTAATGGAGTTGAATTGTGTTACTAAAGATGACACCCAAGGTGGTTCTTTGATTTCCACAAGCACATCTACATGTGTGTGCCCACCTTTACACACACACACACATCCCCCACACAAATGTACACACAATCATACACATAAGTAAAACATTAAAAAAGAAACTGTACCTAAGATGAGTTGTGTGTGAGTCAGAGAGAAGAGAGAGGAGATATTACAATAGATAGAGATGCATGAGAGGAAGCAGAGTGAGGTGCTGGAACACAGCTAAGGGAGGGATGTGCGGTAAGAGAGGCCTGAGGAGGAGGCGGTTCTTGGAACAGTGACGTAATTTATAAAGAGACAAGGTGACTTATGGTACTTATGCATCGAGTACAAGTAAGAGGTGATAAGTATTAGATTCTGATGTTTTGAAATTGCACCCTAAAATGTGATAGGAATTCCTGTACAATTTTAAGTAGGAAGTAGATTTGATCAGGCTGACACCTCAATTTGTTGATTAGTTTCTTTATGTATTTATTTTGAGACAAGGTCTCACTGTGTAGCTCTGGCTTTGCTGAAACTTGCTGTATAGACCCAGCTGGTCTTGAATTCACAGACATCTATATGCCTCTGCCTCCCTAGTGCTGGAATTAAAGGTGTGGGCCACCGTGAATTATTAATAGATCTTATGTTTATATGGTTCCAAAATTTAAAAAGAATTGGGTGTAGAGTGAGAAAAATGTTTACTCACTTATACTATTCTTAAAATCCATGATCCTGAAGTCACCTGTACTTAATATCCTCTCTCTCACACATGGGGCAACATCCCATCCTCTGTGTGCACCCCGACTTCCTCCCATAGTTCTGTATTTGTGAGACGGCTCCATGCTACCATATTAAACGGTTCCTCTTTTACTTCTTAGGTCTGTTTCTGCATGGCCTACCATAAGTTTCAAGAACACACTGCTGATGATTTAGTTTTTTTTGTTTTCATTTTCCCTGTTTTTCTCTGTGACTGAGCTGTGGTGCTGTGTTGGATACAGAGTCCTGGCATTTTCAGAAAGCTCAACTGGGATCTAAATCCTTGATAAGTGAATGACTGGGGGGGATAAATGGGTGAGACTGGATCCAGGGAGGCCCCCAGTAAGGTACTGAAGTTGCCTGGCAGTGGAGAAGAAGGGGATACTGGGAAGAGATGGGTGTATAGGAGGACCAGCCAGGCTAGGTGACCTATGGATGTTGGGATTTGGAAATAGAGGAAGTCACGGTTTATTTCTTGGAACAGGATTGATAATCTAGATAAATATCACATTTGATACAATCAGCTGAAAACAGTACCAGAGGTTTCGAGAAGGCTCAGTGGTTAAGAGCACTTGCTGTTCTTGCAGAGGACACAGGTTCAATTCCATGCAGCCACATGCCTGCTAACAATCCTGTTACAGAGGACCTGACACCCTCTTCTGGCCCTGGCACTTCGTGCATGTGGTGTGGTACCCAGACATACATGCAGGCAAAACACTCATACATATAAATAATAAAAAAAAAATAGCACTATTGTGACTGGAAAATACCTGCACGTGATTGAAGTAACCTGTGGCTGAGCGAATCTGTAATGCTCAGATTCCCGACCTCTATTTTAATGCATTCTTCCAACTCTCCTGTGCTTATTGTGAAGTGCTCCCCCTCCAACTAATAACCTCTTTGAGTTTATATTCTCTTTGACTTGAACTCTTGTTTCTAGGACAGAGACTTGACAGTTCATGAGATCTGGGAGACCTGTAAATTCACTTTTTGTTCTCATGATTTTAAAGCTATACCTTGTGTCTATAGAGAGTGTTCTGACAGGTGTTCTAGTTGAGAGCCTATTTATTTATTTATTTATTTATTTATTTATTTATTTATCTACTTATCTATTTCAAGACAGGGTTTCTTTGTGTATCCCTGGCTGTACTGAAACTCACTCTGTAGACTAGGCTGGCTTTGAACTCAGAGATCCTCCTGTTTCTGCCTCCCAAGTGATGAGATTAATGACTTGCACCACCACTGCCCCACTGAGGGCCTATTTTTAATTAAGCTATAACTCATATATAATTCACTGTCTTGAAGTATATAACTCAGTGGTTTTATTTTTCAGTGAAGTCAAAACTATTATTTCTATCTTAGTCCAGAGTACTTTAGTATCTCCAGAGGACACCACATCCATTAAGCATTCATTCCCCATTCCTGCCACCTCATAGCCTCTGGCTACCATAGACCTACTTTCTTTGGATTGTCCTGTTTGAATATTTTATTGTTTCTAAACTTGAATGTATGTGTTGTGCGTGTCTAGGTATTCATGTCTACGTTGTGTGAGTGCATGTTCATGTTGTATGGAGGCCAGAGGTTGATGTTAAGAATCATCCTTATTGTTCTCCCACCACATTCATTGATGCCGGCCGAGCATCTTAGTCAAACCCAGAGCTCTCTGATATGTCTAGTCTTACTAGCAAGCATTCTCTGGGGATGATCTCCTTTCTCTACCTTCTGAGCCTGGAATAGCAGGTGGGCTGCTTTGCTCATAATGACCTGTAATTCCAGCTCCAGGGGATCCAGCACCCTCTTCTGGTCTCAACAAGTGCCCCCACACATGAACATACACACATAGGCACAGAGACACAAACACCTACACATACATTAAAAAGGCATAAACCTAAAAAAAAAAGAAAAAAAAAAGAGTTTAGTATTTCCCTTACCGCATAGTTCGTTGTTAGCCGCAGTTTTTCCAGAACTGTCTACCATCTGTTATGAGGTTCAACTAGAAAGATCACTTTCCAAAAAAAATTTTTTTCTCTCCTTTCTATGACTTGTAATTCACTATCATTGATGTATGGAGTAGTGTGTGTGTGTGTGTGTGTATACACTCATAAATACATGCACATGTGGAGGCCAGAGGTTGACATTAGATGTCTTTCTCAGTTGCTTCTCCACTTTGTTTTTGAGGTAGAGTCTTTCACTGAACCTGGAGATCACTAATTCAGCCAGCCTTGCTGACCATTGAGCCCCTGGGATCCTCCTGTCTCTGCCCCTGTTACCCCCACCATTGGGGTCACAGATCTGAGCCACCGTGTCCAGCTTTGATGGGGCTGCTGGGGTTCCAAACTCAGGTCCCTGTGTTTGTGCAGCAGGCACTTCACCCTTGAGCCGTCTCCCCGAGCCCTTGATTTGACTGGTTTTGCAGAGATTTCTGTGGTGGGGTTTTAAGCACTGGGTGCTTGATGTGTGCCGAGAACTTTACATCCTACACAGATACACTTTGCTTTTGATGTGTGATGTCCTGTGTTCCCCTTCTGACTGCAGATGGTCCCCATCCCTGCTGGAGTATTTACAATGGGCACCGATGATCCTCAGATCAAGCAGGATGGAGAAGCCCCTGCCAGGAGAGTCACTGTTGATGCCTTTTACATGGATGCCTATGAAGTCAGCAATGCTGATTTTGAGAAGTTCGTGAACTCAACTGGCTATTTGACAGAGGTAATTGAATGGGCTTGAGGATGCGAGGGAGAACTTGCCGTTATCCAGAACGTTCAAGAAAGGTTCTATAGCTACAAACACTGAACTCTGAATGCTTTTCCTGTGTGCCCGGCACTGTAGAGAACACTTCCTGTCTGTCTTTCATCTAATTTCTCACAGCAGCTCCATGATGTAACAAGCTGAGAATCAAAACTGAGTCATCCTAATCACACTGCTGGTCAATGATTGTAATCAGGTGTGGGCAGTGTGGACCACAGAACCTGTGTTGCTAACCTTTGTGCTGTATTGTGGTACAGCATTTTAATCCACTGGAGAGGCCGCTGCTCACTAGGCCTTCTGAGAACACAGCTGGCCTGTAATTCTTCTCAATGCATCACAGACTGCCGGTCCCACAAGCACTACACATTTCGTAAGTGGTCAAGTGTCTAAGTGCAGCTTTTCATTGTTGTGGCTTTATTCTACTATCTCAGTGACTCAAAGCTCTTTTCTGGGGGGCAGTTTTAGGCCTTTTCCAGGGGTCACTGAATCATAGTGCAAGGCAAGAGAATGTTTGTCCCAAATGGGAACTGGGGTGTTGATCTTCTAGTTTATGACTGTTTCGGTGAGAATCTCAAATGTACTTCTTCCTAAGTCCTGTCCTTTTTAAAATCTCATAAAAAAAAACCTTTGCCTTTTTATTCAGTTTGTGGAGTCCCTACTTTAAACTTTTTTTTTAATTAAAAAAATTCATTTGGATGAATGCCAAAAGCAAAACAACATTTGGGTTCAGTTCTGCACTGTCTCATTTCTTTGGAATTTCCTAAAATATACGAAGTGGTTGTAAATCTTGTTTATAGATATTTGTAGTAAGCAAAAGTTTTTATTCCTTTTGTTTCATATTCTCAGCTCAATTCGTAATCTATTAGAGAAATTGTGTGTGTGTGTGTGTGTGTGTGTGTGTGTGTGTGTGTGTGTGTGTGTGTGTGTGTATGTATGTATGTATGTACATGAGGATGTGGGTGCATTCTCCTATGGGGGTATGTACAGAAGCCAGAAGTTAATATTGGGATAGCTTCCTCAATGGCTTCTCTATATTACTGTTTTTTTTTTTTTAATTTTTTTGGTTTTTTTGAGACAGGGTTTCTCTGTGTAGTTTTGGTCTTTCTCTGTAAACCAGGCTGGCCAGGCTGGATGGGAAATACTGCATCTCCATACTTACAATCTTTACATTCACTTAAGACATAAACCGCAAGCCATGATAATAGCACACAGAGGACTTTATCACCAAGAAAGGTCACAGCCAGACTTTGTTCATCACGTTGTTGCTGTTGAAATGCTGTTTGCATTCATCCCCACCTTGAAATATGAGAATTATAAGACCTGACTTGATGTTTATTATATGAGCACACATACCATTGCAGCACTAATTTTGAGTAACTGTCTTGGTAATCCTATTGGTTATAGTTTATGAACCTCTCATTCTGATGAGGTCTCAGCTTCATGCTGCCAGGAAGGTGTAGGGCACAACCAAGTTGAGAATCCCTGCCTTGGACACAGTGTTTCCTATTCTCGAGGCATTTCACACACTTCCCCCAATGTCTCTAACTTCGTTGTACGTATCCCCACTTGTCACCACGGTCTACCAGTGGCTCTGTTTCTGTTCTTGGGGACGGTGCACCCTCCCCCTTGAGTGCCTTTAGTTCCCTCTGCTTGGAACTGGAGCGCCCTGCTTGACTCTTCTTGCATGACTTGCTGCTGCTTCAGTCTGCTTGGCTGGATTGTCCTTTCTTCAGAGCCTTCTACTCACTCTGCCAGGAGGCCGTTATTAGTGGTTTTACTTTATAAAGCAAAATTAAGTAGTAATGACTTTTATGATGTTTTCAGCTTGATTTTTCTCTCTGCCCTTACATTTAAGTCCCTTAAGAACAGAGACCGTCCTTTCCTGAGGATTTATAGTCAATTAATGGTTGCTGGGGGAGGGAGAGCCATTTTCTTCAATGGTATAGCCATGGGCAAGTGCCTATGCTCCTGTAAATAACCCTTTACCCATGTTCCTGTAAGCACCCATAATTAAACTCATCAGAATACACATACTCCCCCCCACCACCACATGGGGATGGGAATGGAGAAAGGGCTCTACTTGGGAAGAAGAGGATGGTTATAGAAAGTAGGAAGGGAACAAGAGAGGATAATGAGTGCGTATAATCAAAGTGCTTTCTCTACTTGTATGAAAATATCATAATAAAATCAATCCTTTATTACATATAATTAATATATGCTGGTAAAAAATGTCAAAAAGGACAGAGTCCATGCCTATGAACTACTGACAATGGTAATCCCTGATTTAGCTCTAGACCAGGCATGTGACAGTAGGTGTATATGTTGAATGAATGAGTGGCCTGGGTTGTTAGGCATCGTGGTATTGCTAGGATCTTATGAATGCTGTCAGAGGTGAAGAAAACATTCATGTCTAGTCAATAAAAACAGGCCTCTTGTAAAGCCTGATGTACAGGGATCAGGACTCAGTAAACTTCACCTAGTGAGGATAGGCCAGGCCTAGCGGCTAGGGGTATTCCAAGAACTGGTCATGTAAAGTGAGGAGACTAGGGGAGCTGTCCACAGTCAGTCATTGCATTTCTCCTGAGCTCGCTGTGCTAGAACCCCCAGATTGAACAGGGGCAGCTTGTACTGGCCTCCTTTCAGCCCCCATCATTAGAGTCTCTGGGGTTGGAGAGCAGCAGTCTGAGTTTGAACAAGCTGCCTGTGTGAGCCCCACTACACAAGCTGGGGAGCTGCTGGCCTAGTAGAAGTTGTTCACACAGGCAGGCGCAGAGCTCTGGGGAGCCCCAGTAAGATGAGTCCTCATGTTTCATGGATGTGTCAGAACAGTTGGCAATGTAGGAAGGAGGAAGACTAGAGCAGTGGAATCACAGGTCCTAGAGGTCAAAGGGTCCCACTTTCAGAGCAGATATTGATGAAGATTTGTGATAGTACTGTCAAAAAGTGATTCAAATACAGATTTCCATCTGATGCTTAGATTGGTCCCCTGTAAACTCATGGAACGTGTCAGAGAATCAGCAAGCAGTGCCATTTAGTCCTTTTAGGTAGATTCTAGGAGCAGGGCAGAGGACAAAAGGCTTGCTTATGCAATATCACATATGTAAATATCCGGAGAAATATGTTTCTTCCACAGGGCATCATCTTCTCAGAATCTAATCTCTTCTAGCTTTTGGTCTTATCTGCTAATCAGGTCTCATATGAAAGCAGTCTCATGAGTGACATGAACCTGTTTTAAGAGGAAATTGGATGCTTTCAAGTCATTTCTGAGTAGTTCAGGAAGTCATATGGAAAACCTGAGTCCACTTGGATGGGGAAAATCACCTACTATAGTAGCAATAATAAATGGCACCCTTGAAGCCTGTGACTCTAACCTTTTCTGGTTACTCTCCTTACAGGCAGAGAAGTTTGGTGACTCCTTTGTCTTTGAAGGCATGTTGAGTGAGCAAGTGAAGGCGCACATCCACCAGGCAGTAAGTAGTGCTTAAACAGGCTCTTTGTTTTCTTTGGGACTCATCAGAAACTACAAATACCATCTTCCTCTCCCTGCTGGTGCCTAACCATCCTTCCAGTGTATATTTGTCTTGAGTCACAGACCCATGGGCCAGGGTGCCTTGTCTGGCTGAAAATACACAAGCCTAGGATGGTGTCTGATGAAACTTCTGGTCTGCTTTGAGTTTCTGCTTGTGCCTTGGAGTGGCACTGTGCTCCTACTGTGTGCAAACCCAGTTCTGTACTTTGGATGTGTTTTACTTGCAGCCATTTTTACAATGGAGGATAAATGAGTGTTACAGACTGTTTTCACAGTCTTGATCTTGGCAGTGGCTGGTGTGGAGCTAGAGTGTTGTTAGCATTCATGAACCCTTGTGCCAAGTCGTGTCCATGGAAGGAGTCCTCTTGCTGGGGATGTTCATACAAAATGGGGGCTGGGAACTAGTTCTTGGAGGAACGGGTGTACCGTCTTGTACAGAGAGAATGCAGGGGTGTGAATTAAGTCTGTTTTTCTCAGACATGGAGACTATTGGCTAGGCTTCTATATGTACTGTGTGTCAGAAAGAGCTTGGGATTCCTGTGTCAACCAGTTTAGCAGGTCTAGAAATATTTGTTTGTATGTATGTCTCATGAATATGTAAAAACAAGAGAAAGAGTGAGGTTAGCTAGGAAGTTGAGAGTTCTTATGACATAGTGAGCAGAGACTGAAGAGCAGGAGATAATGAGAGGGAGTGGGCCTGGGGGGGCGTCTCACAACTCAAGGAAGACAGAAGTGTAGGGTGAAGATGAAGAAAGCTCATTCTTCTTCTTCTTTTTTTTTTTTTTCTTGGTTTTTCAAGACAGGGTTTCTCTGTGTAGCTTTGCGCCTTTCCTGGAACTCACTTGGTAGCCCAGGCTGGCCTCGAACTCACAGAGATCCGCCTGCCTCTGCCTCCCGAGTGCTGGGATTAAAGGCGTGCGCCACCACCGCCCGGCCTCATTCTTCTTTTATACAAGTTTCCCTTAAATAATTCGTGCCTGGGGACCGGAGAGATAACTCAGTGGTGAAGGGCACTCTCTAAGAGTGGTTGCTCTTAGAGAGAATCCATGTTCTATTCCCATACCCATATGGGGGCTCACAGCCGTCTATAACTTCAGTTCTAGGGAATATGATGCCCTCTTCCGTCTTCTGCAAGCACTGTATGCTTGTGGTACACAGACATGCAGGCAAGCTAACACCCCCACACATAAAATTAAAAAGTCCTTTCTGAACTTCATCCTAAAGCGTTGGCATCACTGTGTCCTCTCCTGAAAGTAGCAGCATCAGGAAATGGAGCCCTTCTGGCTCTTGCTTTCTCTCTCTATTCCAACCAATGTAGAACAGAGTAGGGGAGTAGGGGGAGATGAAGTTGACTTGGTCTCAAATTGTAAAATTGTATTCTGGCGAGTCAGGCCATTTTTTTACATTTGTTTTTATTATTTTGAATTCCAGTTTGCTCATTGCCAGTTAATATCGTCTCTTATATAATCTGATCCCCCACTTCCACTTTTTGTTTTATTTTGTTTTAAAGGGATTGAGTTCAGCTCAGGGTAGTGGTGATGACCCAGCAAGCAGCTCAGGTGTGGCTCCTGTTTCAAGATAGGAGTTCAGATAAAGGAGTCTGTCCACCTGCGCCTCTTTTAAGGTATGGGGTTCAGATAAAGGAGTCTGTCCACCTGCGCCTCTTTTAAGGTATGGGGTTCAGATAAAGGAGTCTGTCCACCTGCGCCTCTTTTAAGGTATGGGGTTCAGATAAAGGAGTCTGTCCACCTGAGCCTCTTTGAAGGTATGGGGTTCAGATAAAGGAGTCTGTCCACCTGCGCCTCTTTTAAGGTATGGGGTTCAGATAAAGGAGTCCTCCTGCTCCTCTTTTAAGGTATGGGGTTCAGATAAAGGAGTCCTCCTGCTCCTCTTTTAAGGTATGGGGTTCAGATAAAGGAGTCTACCTGCTCCTGTTTTAAGGTATGGGGTTCAGATAAAGGAGTCCAACTGCCCCTCTTTTAAGATATGGGGTTCAGATGAGGGAGTCTGTCCACCTGCTCCTGTTTTAAGACATGGGGTTCAGATGAAGGAGTCTGTCCACCTTTCAGATGCAGGGTACCGTGTCTCTTAGGGGCTACTAATGTATTAGGCGTGAAGGCAGACATGGAGCATTGCTAGGCTCCAGAGGTCCCTGAGTCATAGTGAAGTGTGTGTGCTCGTAGCCAGGATGAGGACAAGCACCTCTCACCTGGCTACGGGTTGGCCTCTTGCTTAAATGCTTATAATGGAAAAATAAACGTTTTAAGGCTGTTTTGAAAGGGTTGAATGAGTAAAGTAAGTCTGTTGATGGTCCAGGAGAGCTTTGTTCCATCTCCTTTGTTAGCCTGACTTATGTCCACTCACTAGACCCTTAGTAACCTCACATTTCCATAAGGTAGGATGTGGGATGTCCATGAGATGAATTTAGGTCGACTTTAGGAGGTAGATGAGACAGTGGAAGGTCACCTGGAAGCACAGTGCCCTTCCCTTTCATGCATCTTTAGGCCTTAAGTCAAAAGAAGGGCTCATTTGAGTTCTGGAATATCCTTAACATCTGACAGTAGTTTGTTTTCAATGTACAAAACAGGTGTAGGAGGCTTGCTGAAGCTGTATTAGCCAGTAAAAATAGAGTAACTGTGTTTATTTTTATGTGGTTGTTTTCAGGATTGTATTCTGTTTATTCCAGTTTACACTAGGGGTATGAATTTTCCTATTTTTTTTGGTGTCCAATAAAACACAAATACAGATAGTCACCTGATTTAAATGTGTTACTACATTATCCTAAGATGGAGCACACTTGCCTGTCACCCAGCTGAGGGACTAGCGATGCTACCTGCCCCAGCAGCCCCGTGTGTCACACTAACCACACCCGTTCTGTTCCTAGAGTAACCCCGGCCTGCTTTGTAAAGTGAGTTCTCCTTCCTTTTCATTTCAGTATCATCACCTAGGGGTATACCTTAAGTTGAATCTTGCTCATTTACAGACGTGTTTGTCAAAGGCATTACTAATACGCTTTCCATCACATCCTGCATTTGTCTTCTCCTTAATTTTTCCCCTCTGAAGACCATAGAACATTCAGCTTGTGGACTTTCCCAGTCTGAATCTTGCTGATTGACAGCTGTAATACAGTTCACCTCTTGTCTCTGGTCTGTGTTTCCTACAGACGGTAGCTGCGCTCTGAAGTGTGATCAGGTTCATGGTGTACCTGTGTCATGAATCTCATGGTGGTGTCGTCCCCTAGCACAGGGGTTCTCAACCTGTGGGTCACGTATCCCATATCCTGCATATGAGATAATTATGATTTGTGACAGTAGAAAAATTACAGTTACGAAGTAGCAATGAAATAATTTTCTGGTGGGGGTCATCACAACATGAGGGACTGCATGAGAGGGTCACAACAGTAGCATCGTTGAGAACCACTGCTCTAGCATGAAGCAGCTAATGTCTGCTACTTCATCCTTTTGTCATACCAGCTGATGCTTAGTGGCCATGTCCACGAACTTATTGAGATTGTAGATGATGGGAGTCTGTTTTTAATTTATTGATGAAGATACTTTCATAAAGTAGTAGTTCCCTCCACTTAACCGTTTTCTTAACCATTGGTACAGGTTATACTAGAATGGTAGGTAAATGCTCCATTCTTTACCAGTTTAAAAAAAACAAAGAAAGCAAGCCAGGCATGGTGGCACACGCCTTTAATCCCAGCATTTGGGAGGTGGAGGCAGGCAGATCTCTGTGAGTTAGAGGCCAGCTTGGTCTACAAGAGTTCCAGGACAGCCAGGCCTACACAGAGACTCTGTCTCAAACAAAACAAAACAAAAGCAAAAACTAAAACAAAGAATTAGCATACTATAGAAGTGGCTCAGTGGTTAAGAACACTGGCTGCTCTTCCAGAGGAACTAGGTTCAGTTAATTCTCAGCACGCACATATTTGTCTGTAACTCCAGTCCAAGGGGATCTGATACCTTCTGGCCTCTGTAGAGCACTGTATGCACACAGTGGACGGACATACATGGAGGCAAAATACTCATACACATAAACTAAAACATGGAAAGAAGTGAAGTGGTTACTTATTACTCTTCAAAGGTAACCAGCTAGATATACCTCCCACATACCACCAACTAGGTGTGTGGTCAGGAGTGCCTGATTGTTTGTTTGTGTGTGTGTGTGTGTGTGTGTGTGTGTGTGTGTGTGTGTGTGTGAGAGAGAGAGAGACAGAGAGAGAGAGAGACAGAGAGAGAGACAGAGAGAGAGAGAGAGAGACAGAGAGAGAGAGAGAGACAGAGAGAGACAGAGAGACAGAGACAGAGAGACAGAGACAGAGAGACAGAGACAGAGAGACAGAGAGATAGAGAGACAGAGAGACTGGTGACTGGGATGGAACTGAGGGCCCCAGGCATGCTGGATAAGCACTCTCTACTATTGACCTATATCACCAGATCATGAACTTGAAAAGGCGTCCTGTGCTCAAAAATAGCAAAGTATGGCTTTCAGAAAAGACCATGATTCCAAGTGAATGAAATTCATAACATGTTTAAAACCAAGAATTTCTTTCTTTTATTTTACTAAAATTAAAGTTTTATTTTACTTCTTCCTTTTAATTTTATTTTACTATTTTTTCCAGGGTATCTGTTTTCAGGAGTATCCTATGCAAATTTATTCAGTGTCTATCTTTCTTTCTTTTTGACAGGAGTCACCTCACTACACATGGTGTTAAACTATCATATCCAGTGTTGTCATTTCCCAGCTTCTGCTGCCCCAGTGTAGGATAAAAAGAAAAAGTACTTTTCTCTTTAATTAGAAATTTTATTTTATTTCATTTTTTTGGTGTTTCAAGACAGGGTTTCTCTGTGTAGTTTTGGTGCCTGTCCTAGATCTCGCTCTGTAGACCAGGCTGGCCTCGAACTTGCAGAGATCCACGTGGTTCTACCTCCCGAGTGC